TTGGTTCATAATGTACGAAAATCAATTAGTCCGCACTTGTAGTAGAAATAACATGATAAATTTTTATGAAATCAAATAACAATCGTAAAATTCAATAGGGCGGAGGGGGAGAGGGAGTAACGGCTACTTAACCGAATAATATAATTAGACCACTTTTATTAGCTTTGTAAGAATACAATTCAGATTTGTAACATGTTGATAAATAAATTAAACAATTTCGAAAAGAGGAAGGTTAACGGTTGACTGTATTTCAAACCATCCTTAAAAAATCCTCATACTTGTATTCATCAATAATACCGAATAACGCGTGAAGTTCGATTAATTTTTTTCATAACACGCTGTATTGAAACGCGTAACTAACAATATTGATTAAATATTAAAAATTTTTCAAAAGACATTCTCAATAAATTAATTAAAATGTCTGATTTTAAAACTAGATAAATGATTAACCGAATTTTTAAATTGTCGTAATTCATTTAAATTGAAGCTAATAAACAAAATATTTTACGGTATTGAAATAAAATTTGAAAAGTAAGAAAAATAAAGTTGGGTCAAACCATTTGGGTTTGTAAAGAAGCACTTTTCACTTCAAAAAATATTTCTTTATTATTATTTAAATTATAGTTTCATTCATAATAACAGATTGTTTATATAGAAAAATGTTGCATACATTTGGGATGAGCAAAAAAAAAAAATTGTAGGAAGCCTTAACATAAATGTCGAACTGGACGGTTAAGCAAATGAGTCAAAAAAAATAATCATATTTTTTAATGGCACGACATTTACAAGTAGCGTTCTGCATTTATAGAACTCGGAAAAGGTAGTACTTTCGGATATAATAAGGCGAAAAAAATTCAAACTTTACAAATTTCGAGAGGCGATAACTTGATAGGAGATCGAGCTAGAACAAAATTTTCTTTTAGAAAAATAAACTATTTTTCAATATCTAAAATTTGTTAAAATTTCAAACTCCTACAGGTTGTCTAGCGGCATCCAAAAATTTCAGAAAAACACATTTTGGATAATGGTTAATTTAAGTGGGCATTTTGATTTTTAAAAAGTCAACAAAGCTATTTGTCTGCGTTTGCAGAATTTAAAAAATGTCTGTGGTTTTGTTATAACAAATAGTCAAAAAAAGGAATTATTAGTGCTTTTAGGGGCTATAGACTTTGAAGGGAGATGTAGGTAAAAATTTTCTTCCGCGGAAATACGTTTCTAGTAAAGGTCAATTTATATAAAAAGCTCCAGATTTCTATCCTAAATGACTTAGAAATTTTGTAAAAGAACACACGTACAGAGTCAGACTAACAAACACTTTTTTTCAAATTTTCATTCGAAAAGTGCTAAAAAGCTCAAATATAATTGTTGCATTTAAATTAAAATTTAGATCAATGCAACCACGTTCAACAACTTTTATTCTTTTTCAATGCAATCATTTTGAACGAGATTAAGAAAAAAAAAATTCCAAATTAATGATGGCAGCAAGCATAACCATTAATACAAAATTTTCAATGATGATTACTTTTAATTCAAGATTATTTTGAGTCTATATTAGATGTAATTTTTTTGGGGAAAAAAATTATAATAAAATGCTCACGTTATTTTAATTTATTCTTACATAATTCTTAACTACTTAATTAAGTCTAATTTTTTAAATAACTAGATTTTTTTATCATTACTCGTAATAATGTTTTTGAATTATAATAGAAGGACTCATATGTATAAGTAATTAAAATTAGAAAATTATAGCGTTACCGCAAGTACATTAAACATAGTTCGTGTCATGTCGGCTCAACTTAATTCAAAATAATTGCTTCCGCGTACGTGATATTCTACATCATAGGAATGGAACGTGCAACTGATATTGGGAGCAGTTTAGTATATTGTTTAAAATGAATTCTGTAAATAATGTGCTCGAAAATATTTTCAGTATATGCAATATAACAATAATTTATTAAATATATTGACCTAACCGAATATATGATAATATTGCTAAAAAATATTTCCATATAACAAAACGCGATTTTACTCCGCAGACGATGCAGAGTGATATGGCTCCATTTATGGAGCCATAAATAGATAATGGAGCACAAAGGGGAATAAAGGGCGGAATTTGAAAGTTCTCTCATACGGTATTTGCATTCGCATTTCATAACAATGCTCCTTCATCAATATAATTCCAGTCTCAAACATGCTATTTACACGAAACTTTTTTTTTTTGGTTAGTGCGAGGAATCGAAGTAAAAACTTTGTTATATAAGGATATGTTCACTAGATTGTCCACCATCCCATAAGTATTCAAACCATTACTTAAGGCTGTACCGAGCCATTATATTTCTTTATAAAATTCGCTTAACGTAAGAAAACCTTAAGTTCTCTCAGGTTGATTCTATATCTTTGGGTCATTTAAATATTTCAGTACCTTCTAAGCATAATTCATTCCAAATCTCTAAATAACATTTTAACAATATATTCATACATAAATTAAAAATTTAATAAACATATAGAATTTTCGATTTTAAAATCATCTTGAGAGGGAATACTCAATTCTTAGTAATTTCTAAAAAATACCAGTGGCTAAGATGGTAAAGCATAAAATTTAAGTTTTTTTTTTTTAAGATCAAATGCATGTCACAATCAAATTTTGAATTTTTAATGAGACTATGAACACAAAAATATATTTAAAATCATGCAATTATTTATACACTGTCTATTTTACTATATTACATTTTGTTTATCATAATATGAGAGACATATGGTATAGGTGACCTAAAAGGGAAAAATTAGAATTATTTTACCACGTAAAAATGCAAATTATGCAAAAAATACATATAATTAGATCCTAAAACAGATATTCATCATATATAAAAGACGCAGTGTTTTCAATATAGTTATAGACACATAGTTGAATGTTATCTGGATCAGCATATAATAGGTATGTTTAATTTTTATATACTGTGCATGTGCTCTAAGAGATGTTCTTGTCTACGTTAAGAGTACATAATTATAAATTTTTTCAAAATAATCGATATAAAATAATATGTAAATTTAAATTTACGTCTAGTTTATGCGTATTTATTCATTATTAGAGTTTATTCACTTCGTTTACAGTTTACAGTTTTGGAAGATAATAAGAAAGTGGAAGGGATTCTATACGGTTATTTGAATAGTATAATAACAACAATATTTAACAACAAATCGGAGACAGGCTATAATTAAATCAATTTGTAAAAATTTTAAAGTTTTCACCAGCTGGTGCAAATCTTTACCACAGCCTTTGCAACTTTTAGATTACATGGCATTAGAAACGGAACATTTATTGCATCATTACACTTCCAATTAAATAACTGTTATAATTCTCAAAATATTCGATAATTCTCTTTTATTGCAACCTAAACCATATACGAATTGAATTGATCCTATCATGATTTTTTTTTCTGTTTCTTTTTCCTCAGTTTTAGTTTTCTTTATTATCCTGATTTAAAGTATATAAAATATTTTTAAAAATATTCAAAGTTCAATTGAAAATAATAAATACAAAAAAAAAAGCATTTGAATAACAAAAATTTTGTTAGGATTTTATAAACTGCTGTTAAACCATACAAAGTACAGTGTTTTTCTTTAAATAAATTGCATGATTCATTTTGCATGCGATAAAATTAACTCATTTACATGTGCTACAAAGATGGTGATCACTGATAGGAGCACATTTTTTAAATTTTCAATTTTGATTTTTTTTTTCATTTCATTTTTTGAATTCATATGTGTCTGCATACTCGTATTTACAATTTTATTTAATAAATATTTTTGGTATTATAATTTTAAAATTAGTTTTTGATCTTGAAGAAATTAAGAAGATATTAAAAATGTTATACGTTTACAGTCCCGTATATAATACGATCGGATTTTTATTTGTGCATTTTAGAGAAATTTCATGGAAACAAATCATGTTATCTATGTTATCCCGAACACATGATGTGCCTTAGTTATGGGACTTTTGCTATTTATAAAGCACTGACGTCTTTTCCTCAAAATTACGTAAATTTTCTAAGGGTAGATTATGTATTACAAGAAATGTAGGGTCAAGTACAACTACATATTTTATTGAAATTTTTTAAATCATAGCTTCTTGGAATGCATTCCATGGCTTATTAAAATGCAATGCAAACAAACTAATTTGATTTACCCTTAAGTTGTTTGGGGTTCATTTTTGTATTCTTCAGCATTTAAAAATTATCGTAGCAGTACCCATAATGTAGCTCTGTATGTGTTCTATTATAATAAAGTAATTACATTATTTTTCTAGCATGAAATTTGTATTGTACCTAAATATAAACTTTTATAATATAATTTTATTAAATTGAAAAATGGTGTTAATAGATTTATTTGAATGAAATGGGACCAATTATAATTGAATATTAAAATAGAATAACTTTATTTGAGAAAATTTAATTAATTTCAATGGATTTCAAGGTGGAGTCTAATGCGAAAATTTGTAATGTTAAAAATAATATTAAGATTATGTAGCTCGGATTTAAAATTTCAAATTCAACCTAAGAAAAGTTTGTATCAGTTGAATTTTGTATTCAGTTATAATTTAATTGAAATTGTTTCGAGAACAATTAAATAGCCAAAAAGACAATAGTGGAGAATGTGAATATGATAAGGGAAGTTTGAGTTATGTTAAGCCGCCTTCGGACTATATATTAGTATGGTCAATGTATATGATGGGAGTTGTTGAAATTGCTCCGTCTGGTAGCTGCCATACAACTTCAAAAGTTATTTGGCTATATCTTAGAAACTATAAAAGCTGTGGCATAGAAATTTCACACAAACACAGTGCTGAAATTTTGCATAAATTAATATGGTAATATGACAACTTAAAGTCATAGTCTGTCCCATAGTCAGCTATGGCATATTTATACGCACATAGAATAACAAATTCGTACGATTAAAATTCATTTTATTTATTAAATTTAAGATTTTTTTTTGTTTTTCAGAAAATGCGGGGAATAATATTCACTCTACTTACGTTACTATACACGAAAATTACTATTGGAGTATTAATTCAGGATTCTCCGAAATTACATAATGGACCAGGCTTTGGTTATTATTATAATAAACCAGCATCACCATTATCTTCTCATTTAACTGAATTTAAACCGATTTTCCCAACATTTTCAACATTACAACCATCAATACCGATTGCTGGACCATCACCACAAATTCCTTCATTATCACCACTTTCATTTCATCCATCATCACCAAGTGGTCCAAGTTTACAATCATCAAATCAATTTCATACTGGTCATTTACCACAATCAATTCATTTCGATATTCCACCAGCTGTATTACATAATTTTTTGTCACCCGATGATAACATATATTTTTCTGATGATGGACGAATATTAAAACAATATGAAGTTATGGAACGAATACTTAATGATCTTGAACATCCTGGAAATTTATTAAGTTCACCATCATTATTTTTCGATAGTATAGTATCGAAATTTGTTGCACAAAATCCTAGTTTAGCAGGACAAATATTACATCCAGTTACAAGAAATCATGGTCCAATTGCATTAGGTTCCGGATCATTAGGTTATATACAATTGAGAAATGGTGCTGCACATTTAGGTTCTGGTTCTTTGGGTTATATAACTGCTCCACAAGCAAGTCAAGCTGTTATTGATGCTAAAACAAGAAAAACATTAGCCCCTCCGGGTCCATTACATTTTGGCCATAATTTTGCAAATTAATGTTATTATATGAGATTATTAAAATATGAATTCTCATCTTGTAGCCATTTTATTTTATTTTATACTTTTTTAATACGTGTGACCTATTAATATGTAAAATTATGTAAAAAAATCATTAAATTTATAGACTATTTTTTATCCTCATAAAATAATTTTTAATTTATTGTACATAAAAAAAATATTTTGTTTAAAACAATATTGTATGTATGTAAATATGTATATATATGTTATATATGTACGAGTATAAGAATGTTTATTAGGTTAAAATGGATTATTTTATAAGAATCTAAATAAAATTTTTATGTAATAAAAAATTTTTTTAATAAGAGCTTCAAAAACAACCTGAAAAGAAGTTTAAATTGCTTTCTTCACGAAAAGCCTGCGGAATTTCAAAATGCGTAAGACCGATCAACTATGTATTGACATAAGACATTATTCCCAACAGATTAAATTGATGTAATTTATAATAGCAATGTTGTATGGAGCAATTAATGCTCCATACAACAGCTCTTTCATATGAAAGTAAAAATTTTTGCTTAAATTCATCAAAATGTAAAAAACTCTTTAAACTTATTATAGCCTACACCTTCATGGAGGGTATATTCACTTCGGTATGGAGTTTGTAACTATACTTAAAAGAGTCGTTAAACTAAACTAAACGAAACAAAAAATATTTCACATCCATAAAATAACCATAGCACACATAACTTCTGTATCTTACCTCTGCATTCATCGGTTGAGAAAGAAATGAATGGATCCAACGTATTCTTACAATGCCATTTGCAAAAACTTTCCGATACTTCATTTTAAAAATGGACATACTCGTATTTTAATCGATTATAAATCTATTATTGTATTTTAAAAATTTTCAATATAATTGTCAAAATTTAAGAAAAAAACAAGTAGAAACGTTTCAGTCGGTATAAACTGACTGAACCCTTTGATATTAATATCTCTATTACTTTTTGAAATATTTCAAAAAACCTATTTGAGTTGAGTGGCAGCTACCCGAACCCGTTGTCCAAATTGGTCCAATTACAATAGCAGCCATCGTTGGCACAAACGAAAAAACTTTGAAAAAGTTTGATGTCGATTGCATTCTTCGTTTCTGAGTTATCGACCGGACGGATGGACGGACGCACGGACATGTCTAAATCAAAGCAGAATTTTACGCTGAGCAAGAATATATATACATGTCTATAACGGAGACGACTCTTTCAAGTGGTTTCAACCTCCATACCAAAGTGAATATACCCTTTACGAAGAGCAGGGTATAAAATTTATTTAATAAAATTTACATTATTTTATAATTTAATATTTAGCTGTCAAATGTAGGAAATATGTAAAAAAATTTTTAATGTCAAATTTATATTTTGACATTTTAAGTTAATATTATCGACATTTTTTTGAAATTTAAGCACTTAATATCGAACAACAAATTCGTACTTTTGTATTCTCCCATATATTTCAATTTCATAAAAGTTAAAACAGAAAATAAATTTTAACATTGACATTTGTAAAGTGCGCGTCGAATTTGTTTATTAAATAATTTTGTCATGGCCTTATGTCATCATAGACAAACAAAAACTCAAAACTGTAAATTTTAAAATTCTTATAAGTTCTTTTATTTGTCTACGATAGTAAATTATTTATCAAGTGTCAAAACCTAGTAAATAGATATGGTAGTATTTAACAAAGATATAAACCATTTTTCAAATTTTCAACCTTTTTTTTTTAATTTCCTACAAAATTTCGGTTCAAAGTTACCAATTAATTATTATAAATTTTATTTTATCTTACCGTTTTATTTCCTACATTTTTATAATAAATATTAAAGGCACAAACCGTTTTTTAGTGTTTTTAAATCGAGTAAGATTTTCACTATTAACATTTAAGATTTGAGTGCCTTTTCTTTTACAATTTCTCTTTGAATTACAGCTATAGTCATCTCTTTCTATTTTATTTTTATTGTAAAATCTTACATCTTTGCAAGTAGGTGTGGTTTTTATTTCTTCTCCCTCTCAGTTTTTTTTTCTTTTGTTTTTATTTTTATTCTCTCTTCTTATTTTATTATTTACATTATTTTTCTTTACCACTACTATTGTAGTAAGTGGAAGTGAAAAATATTCTTTGGATTTCCCCTTCAATTTGGAAAATGGAATAAAACTAAACTAAAATAAAAAATATAAAGCAATGAAGTTCAATAAACAAATACAATAATAAAAAATTATGATGGAGAGATGAGAAGGAAGTGCATAAACAAAATAAAAAACAAGAAGAAAAAAACGAATAATAAAAAACAAATTTTGAGAGAAAATAGAGACCAACAATTACATTTCGAATTTCAAATAAATGAAATTTTTTTTTGTTGTTGTGTTGTTTTTTTTTGGTCTCTCATATTTTTCTGTTTGTTTCGTTGTTTTTTTTTTATTACATTATTTTCATTTCCTTCTGATTGTATTTATATGTGTAATATTGTATGTCACATTACAAATTGCATATATTCGAAAAAAACAACAAGCAAAAAAAAAAATTTAATTTAATTTTTGTATTTATTTGTTATTTTTTCTTATTTATTTTTCTTTTTTTCCTATTTTATATTTTTACAAATCCAATCCCATCGATTTTTTGTTCTGCTTTTTTTTTACATATTCAATTCTGATTCGCTGAAAATCATTTACAGATGTCGCCTAAAATAGGAAATATAATTATAATAAAAAAAAAAAGCAAGGAAAAGAAACAAATAGTAAAAAAAACAAATGAAAAATAAAATTTGAAATTAAATTTGTCCTCTATTGTAATGGCGACGGTATTAATTTGGAAAAAAAAAATTAAAAATAAAGTAAAGTAGGGAATGCTTTAAACACGTTCAGCGTTCAAATACATAGATATGTAAAAATTCTTGTTTGTCATATTTTCTTTTTCGTTTTTCATTTTGTGTAAATTTTTATGAAATTATCGATTTTAATAATAAGAATAGGTACAGACTTTTAGAACAACAAGCATAACATGATATACTCCTAGGATAAGCAGCTTTTTAAAGGCATTTAAGCTCAAAAATAATTTGATATTTGAATTACACTCCATTTACTCTATAGAGTGTTCGTTATAGTAAAGGAAATTGCCTGTTAAAATTTTCCGCATCTAGGGCTTATAAGTAAAACTTTTCGAATGTCACCAAATTCGCAAGTTTCGGATAATTTTATTTATTTTATCAAAATTAAATATTATTTAAGGTTATTTTTTTTATAATTTGCTCAATAACATTTGAAATTTCTCCAATAAATTTAGAATTATAAAAATTTTAAATAGAGAATTTTTTTTGTCACAAGTCCTCAATATTCTCATTCCTATTCCATTCAATCAAGCTTAAAAATAACATGATAATTTTATCTATATATTTTAAATTATCAAAAATTTTATTAATACATAAATGTATATGTATATTGTAAAAAATATGGAAGGATAATAGGGATATTTAATACTTACCACGTAAAACAAAAAGTATAACAATAAAAAAAATTTTAATTATAGTAAGAGAAATGGAAAATTATTTTTATTTTTTCAGTGTGATGAGGGTTAAAACGTCCCCTATTGGTATGCTTTTATTAAATACTTAAATATTAGGGAACAATAGCTACAAATTCTCTTATTTTAAAATTTCGAAGTAATTTTAAAAATTTTTTTTTCTACTCCCTAAAATTTATTTTAACATAAAATTTCTTTTAATACAAAAAAAAAAACCAATATATTTATTTTATCAAGGATATGAGAAGGATGGTCAAAAATATGAGTGTAAAAGAAGGCAAAAAATTTATGTATCTAATCAATTTTAAAATTATTAAAAAAAAAGCACCTGTAAATTTCAATTCCTATACAAAATATAAAAGGGGTACGTACGAGGATCAAGTAATTTTGTGTAACCAAAAAAAATGAAAAAAAAAATCATAAAAATGTAAACAATATAAAATTGTTTTTACACCTGAATTATGTATTATGAAATAAGAGATGTACATAAGCACTAACATAAATAATCTATATATATATAGATATAGCTATATTGTTAGAAAATATGTGCCGACACATGGCACACTCCATTTAAACTACAATTTATTAAAGTCTTTTACAATTTTTACTATACATTATGTATATTTATATACTATTATAAATAACATTAAAGTATTATGCTTAAATACATACCCATCTATATACATTTAGGTATTTTCATTATACATATAGATATATATATATATAGAGAAAGAGTTAATTTGTTAGGGAATTTAAAATTATAATACAATTAAAATTATGAATTAAATTTCAAGGTTACAATAATACTTTAGTTAAAAAAAAAAAAAAACATTAAGGATTTTCTTGTTGTTGGTTTTACTCTTTGTTTTCAAAAAAATATCTATAGCAAATTTAAAATATGAAAAGAGAGTTACAAAAACAGGAGCGTATTAACAATATTAAAATAATATACTTTTTTTTTTGTTTTAAAGATTATGAACATTAAAATAATATTGTAAATTTATAAAATTATAAAAACAAGAACGACAAAAGATGAAAAAACAATAAAAATCCATTATTAAAGTTTAGGATATTTATTAAATTTTCTGGGAACATTTAAAGGGATAAAAGAGTTACTTTTTATATAATTTGTATATTCGCATATTATAGAGGAAAGGTCAGTTACTGTAACATGACGCACAAAATTTGTAAATGAGAAATTTTTTGGAGTATTGGAAGATTTTATAAATTACTATAAAAAAAAGGTAGCTAATTATTTGAATTTTTATACTTAAATTCATAGAAATATTTTGAAAATTGCAGAACTGATTGAAAAAAATTTTATATATTAACAAAATTGTCATAGTAGCTTTTGATATCAAGTTGAAATTACTTAATTAAACTTATTATACGGCAAGTCCATCTAAAATAATTTATTAAATTTAAGAAAATTTCATAAAATGTAACACAATTAAATCCTAGTCGCTGTGAAATTTGATGTAAACGTGTTTACGAAAAATTTTCTACTTGGGTCCGTGAATGGTTTAATATTCATGTCTTAATCTATAATTAGCTGGAAAAAAATTTTAAAGTCTTTAAATTTTAAAGCCAGAAAAATTTT